AGGAGTGGTAGAAACACACAGGTACACGTACACGTGTACAAGGAAAGCGGAAAAGAAGCGTGAGACAAGGTACCGCACTGAGTTATGCCGCCAAAGGAGTCTACAAGCGTACCGATCGCGCCGCCGCCACAGTCGGCGGCGGAGGCCTGGGACAAACACATCGATGCCGTTCTTGCTGAGCTGCGCCGGCTTTACTTTGAGCGTATCAGGCCGGTAGAGACAAAGTTCCAATACGACGTGTATCGCCCCTCTTGGTTCTCAGAGACCATGGTTCAGAAAAAACCCTTTATCACCTTCTTAGGACCCTTCTCTGCCGGTAAGTCTACTTTCATCAACTACCTGATGCAAAGTAATTATCTGCTGACCGGACCGCAGCCAGTGACGGACAAGTTCACCGTCATCATGTACGGCGAGGAAATCCAGCAGATCCCTGGGCGCGTGCTGATAGCCGACAGCTCGCAGCCGTTCCGTGGCCTCAACCAGTTTGGCGAGGCCTTCGCAGAGGTCTTTCAAGGACTCCTTGCGCCGCACCCCATCCTGCAGTCCGTCTCGCTCATCGACACACCCGGCGTGCTTGAGGCGGCAGGTGATATGCACTCGCGCCGGTACGACTACGTTAAGGTGTGTCGGTGGTTTGTGGAGAAGAGCGATCTTGTATTTTTCCTTTTTGACCCAACGAAGCTTGACTCGGGCACAGAGCTGCGCATGATCTTTAAGCATGCGTTGCGCGGCCAGGAGAGCAAAATACGTATTGTGCTCAACAAGGCGGATACAGTAGGGCCACAGGAGTTGATGCGCGTGTACGGTGCCCTCTTCTGGAATTTGTCGAGTCTCATAAACACGACGGAGCCGCCACGCGTGTACGTGTCGAGTTTCTGGGACCAGCCTTACCGCAAAGGCACCGACCACGCACTCTTCACCGACGAGAAGTCAGATCTTATCTATGATCTCACCGAAATGGTTCCACTGCAGTCGTTGGATCAGCGGGTCACCTCCGTGCTGCAAAGGGCCACACACGTTATTATTTTTGCGTTAGTCTGTGCCACATACAAGTCACGGATGCCGAGATTGTTTGGAAAAGATAAGGCCCGTGCGGAATTTTATGCCCAATTGCCGCAAATATGTGAAGATCTTGCAAACAAGTACCGCTTTAGCGCGGCTGACTTTCCTTCTCGCGAGGAAATGTCGGCATTCCTTTCGAGAGTCCCAACTGACGAGTTTTACGACATGGACCGTCTGCAGAAAAAGGGATGGATCGATTCAGTTAAGCAGACGATCGAAAAAGACCTCCCCATGCTGCTCCGGCCGATTAAACAGTCTGCAGTGGTAGACCCACGAGACCGCAAACATGCCATTATGCTGCAGCGAGAATATACGAAGCAAATGTCAGATCAGCTTTCAGGCCAACGTGGTATTCAGGGTGGACTAGGGCAGCAGCAGACTCCAGCTCACCGTGCTCAAATGATGCAAAATGCAGGCTTTTTGAATGACACACTAAATTGTTCACCGCAGCAGCCCCCAACAGAAATGCCAATGCAACATCAGTACAGCAGCAATGGTCAGAATGACCAGATGGCAATGATGATGCAAATGATGCAAGGAATGATGTTGCGGCAGCAACAACAACAACAGCCACTGCAACTCCAACAGACCCCCACGTCGCAAACCTCACCAGAGCAGATGGCAATGATGATGCAGCTGATGCAACAAATGCAAGCTGGTCAAAGGTAGTTGAAGGAAGTAGTGGAACGGATAAGTTTTGTTTTGATTTGCTTTTGTTTGTTCTCAAACTGTTTTTGCTTCCAGTAAAAAAAAAACAAGAACTATTTGTGAGAATTACCGACACAAGTGATCGCCTGTGCTCATTACGTGTTCCCTTCCGATTCTTTAACGTCTCTACATGCATTGTCTTGCGAAATGATGTTTGTCTTTGCTCGCTGACTGTCTGCGTGCATGTGCTCGTGAGTATTACTGTGGGATGCGTGTGTGTGCGTGTGTGTGTAGCACCCTATGATGCGGCTCGTATGCCCGAGCACAGCCTAGAGCCAAGCTCCACGGGTACACTGCTATTGCGTTTCTCTTCTCCTGTGCTTTCGGGCATGTAGTGGTCGTCGTGCTGGTGTGAAGCTGCAGAGGAAATCAAATCTGCTGCACCTGGTGTGGGCGATGCGGAGGCCGCGAGAGACAGATGGCAGCAACAGCAGCGACGACGAGCAACGCGCCGCCGTTGCCGCACGGTTGGAGACTCCTGGCGATGTGCACCCGACTCGGCTCAATCCCTTCACGGGGCAGCCCTTTTCGCCGCGCTACTACGAGATTCTTGCCCACCGCATCACACTTCCGGTGTACGAGAAGGCGGAGTTGCTCAAGCAGCACGTGCGTGACCACCAGGTTGTCCTCCTTGTGGGTGAGACAGGGAGTGGTAAGACCACGCAGGTGCCGCATTTCATTGCGGAGATGGAGTTGCCAGGGCTCATCGCGTGCACCCAACCGCGGAGAATTGCCGCGACATCGGTGGCGTCGCGCGTTGCGTCCGAGATGGATGTGCGGCTCGGTGAGGAGGTGGGCTACCACGTCCGGTTCCAGTCCATGATGTGTGAGAAGACAAAGGTACTGTATATGACGGATGGTATGCTCCTACGGGAGGCATTCTCTGATCACAACTTGTCGCGCTTCAGTGTGATTGTGGTGGATGAGGCACATGAGCGTACCATAGACACGGATGTGCTGCTTGGCGTCCTAAGGCTTCTTATGGAACGACGCCCCGAGTTTCGCGTCGTCGTGATGTCGGCAACGCTTGACATGCAAAAGTTTCAATCCTACTTTCCTCGAGCGCCATTGATAAAGGTAACTGGTCGCATGTACGATGTGCAGGTGCAGTACGCTACGCAGCCCGTAACGGACTATGTAGAAGCCTGCGTTGAGTGTGTGTGCGCCCTGCATATGACTGAATCAGCAGGGGATATCCTGTGCTTTCTCACGGGTGAAGCGGAGATTGAAAAGGCGGTGCAGCGAACAAAAATGAAGCTTGACCAGTTTGTGGCACATGATAGGGAGACGGAGGACGGCGATCACGAGAATAAAAACAATAACAACAAGGATGATAAACAGCAGGAGCAGCAAGGAGGGACCATGCTGTTGCGGGTGTTGCCACTGTACGGCTCACTGAGTATGGAGGATCAGAAGCGCGTATTTGTACCCCCCGGTAATCACACAAGGAAGGTAATATTCGCCACAAACATTGCGGAAACTTCTCTAACTATTGATGGCATCGTTTATGTGATCGACTGTGGGTATCACAAGCAGAGCCTGTACAATTCGGAAGTTCGCGTTGACTATCTGCTGCCAGCGCTCATTAGCAAGGCCTCAGCGGAGCAGCGTAAAGGACGTGCTGGACGAACGCAAGTGGGAAAGTGCTTCCGCATGTATCGACCGCAAGACTTTGCTACCTTTCCAGATCAGACGTACCCTGAGGTACTGCGCTCTAGTATGGTTAATACCGTGCTGTTACTTCTCAAGCTTGAAGTGGAAAACCCGTACCAGTTCGCCTTTATTGATCCCCCGTCCCAGGAAAGTATTATGGATGCCTACTACCAGTTGAGCTTTTTTGGTGCTGTGGATGAGGACTTGCGCCTAACCAGTTTTGGAAAGATGATGGCAGAATTTCCGGTGGATGCTTGTCTAGCTCGTATGCTACTGCGTTCAGAGGAACATCGCTGTGGAGCCGATGCGGCAGTTATTGCCTCCATGCTGGAGGCCGGGAATGTCTTTGTGCGTCCACCATCGCGTGGCAACGAGGCGGATCAGCAGCACCTTATTTTTCACCATCCAGATGGTGACCATTTGACGCTTTTTAATGTGTTTCATGCCTTTTGGAGTAGTGGCCAATCCCCACGGTACTGCTTTGAGCACTTTCTTCGGTTCCAGGCCTTGTCACAAGCTGTTCGCGTGTACACACAACTGACAAGCCTCATGAAAAAAAAAGGCATTCCTGTTGTCTCCACCTATGATAACACCACTAAATCTCTGAATTCGGTGGCGCTACGAAAGGCTGTACTGGAAGGCTTTTTTACTCAGGTCGCGTACAAGCCGCCTTCCTCAGAGCGGTACAAAACGGTGAAAGACTCACAGTGGGTGATGCTTCACCGCCAGTCGGTGCTGTCGAGGAAGAAGCGTCCGTCGTGGATTGTGTACGACCGCCTTGAGGTCCAGGGGAAGGAGGGTACATTTATCCGCGTGTCATCAACGATCGAGCCAGAGTGGCTGTTAGTGGTCAGCGACTTTTTCACAGACTCTGCAGAACTCGGCGACGGCGAAATATGCCACATCCTGCAGAATCTAAAGGGGAATACTGTATCGCCTGAGTCTTTCCCTCCCAAGTAACGGCGTCACTGTCTGCAATATGAGAGAACAGGCGGGGCAAGTGCATATCCTGGGTATGTCCCTGTTTAGTCCCCTTTGCCCCGAGTAACTCTCCCCTGTTTGTTGGAGTACTTACCGCACTGTTTTTTTTTTTTTCGTTTTCTTCTTTTTCTCCATCATATTATATATGTTCTTTTTTGTTTCGTTTTGTTTTTCCCGCTCTTGGTCTTTGTGGGAAGGTACACATGGAGCCACAACACCACGGCGACGACAGTATAGAGTTGGAGGTCATCGGAGCAGACGGACGTCCGATTATCCGTCACCCAATTGATGTCAATGAGCTCCTCAGAAGGAAGGGCAACACCATAGAACTGGAGGACGGCATACACGTCCGATTAGAGGAATACTGTGAAGAAGATGCATCCTACTCTGAATCGGAGGAGGACGAGGAAGAAGAGGAGGAGGAAGAGGAAGATGAAGAAGAGCAGGGGGGTGAAAGTGATGAGAGCATTGATGCCACCTCAGGGACGCACGCACCTCCGGGGTACCGGGGATTGACAAACTGGGACGATGCTCTCAATGCTGTGCGAAGCGGCGAGAGTGCTGCAGCGACAAAATCAAGGTCGAGGAGTTTGGAGCGAAGCCATCGTTCGGAGCGGCACATAAACAGCGGCATCGGCACCACCGGTAGTAGTGGTGGTGTCGGGACGCAGCGGTCTCGTCACGATGTGTGGGCCTCCTTTGCGACGCCTGTTGACCCTGACAGAAACTACAAGCGGCTCCAGTCTACGTCACTGATGCCGAGTGCCACATCTAGGCGCTTTCGGCTTCCCCCACTCATGTATCACGCTACCGCGTCCTACCTTGGTCCCGCGGATCAGGGACAGCGCATCCTCGTTTACGGTGGAACAACCAACATTGGCAAAACTGTTGAGAAGGAACTATACGAGTTTTCGCTTCTAACTGGAAACTGGCGGCGACTAGAGGGTAAACAGTATGTGTCGCCTGGCAATTACGGTCATACAGCGCTGGTTGTGGAGAGCCTTCATCGGCTCGTGGTAATTGGCGGTGTTGGGCCTGACGGCCGACCTGTCTCATCGGAGACCCTCTCTGACGCTATGTGTAAGTCACGCTACCACCTTCTCTTTCCCTGCAAGAGCAACGCAAAAACAAAACGGGCTGCACTTTCGCAGGGGACCCTAATCGAGGCAGAGAAGCCAACACTCTGGACCTTGGCACATAGAATGGAAGAGGAATCTGCAATTGGGTTCGTGTCAATACTGTTCGACATGGATCTAAAAACACACCGGTGGCGTGCCATTCAGACAACACCTGAGATACCTGTTGCTTTTCATACGGCAGTCGTGAACAGAAGTAATATATACATTTTTGGAGGTGTAACAAATCAGCTACTCGTATCTGCACAACTCATTGTAATAGATGCCCAGACCTACCGCGTCACACTGATTCCATCCAATGGAGCTGCGCCTAAGGCTCGGTACCTTCACAGTGCCGTTGTGTATGGACAATGGATAGTTATATACGGAGGTTTTGATGTGCAAAATGAGCCATTGGATGATGCTTGGGCGTTTGACATGGTGAATGAGCGTTGGGAGCAGCTGGAGTGCCATGGCTCGCCGTCAAGAGGTGCACACGCTGCATGCATTGTGGGATCGCGCCTAATCATCGTTGGAGGCCTCGAATCCGCCATTACAGTTGAACAATCGCCTACCAGTAGCATATTTGAGTTGCAGCTGGTACCGACACTTTCTGGCAAATACCTCTGGAAGAAGCTGTTGGTGCGGCCAGCTGTGCCTCCACTTGTGTTCGCAGCCGCCAGTGCCTGCGCTGACGATGCCTCCTTTATTGTCTATGGTGGATGCACCCCTGTTGTGAAGAGCACGGCGAGAAAGTCGAAGCAACACCAACAACCACAAGGTGCTGCTAAAAGGCCTGTGCCGTGCAAACCCAATAGTAGTGCGGATTATGACAATGATAGCGGTGATGACGGTAACAATTTTTGGCGGAAATTAGCTCCATTTTCTGATGGGTTTGCCTTCACTTTCCCATTAAAGAAAGTCGTTACGGCGAGCCCCCACGAGGATACGGCGCCACATGTCAATGCATTGGGGGTAATGGTCGATCCGGAAGAATTATCACCAGAGTTTCAGGCATTTGTACGGCGGCAACAGGATTTTCTCCTTAAGAAGAACGCTGCACGCGCGCAGGAAATGAAAAAGATCTCTCTTGATGAACTGGAGAATATGGAGCCACACCTCTACTTGAAACCGGAGGAGATCGAGATGCTCTTAACAAAGAGCAATGAGCTCTGCGACACCTTTACTGAGTACAACATGGAATCACTTCCCCACAACACCCCCGATCGAGCCACTCGCCTGCACCTTAGCGAAGAGTGTGTCTCGCTTAGTAGGCAGCTGCGTGATGTCCTCAAGTCGATGAAAGGATACGAGCCCGGCGTGACGGCCGTGAAGTCCAAGACACATCGAATGAAGAGTGGACGAAAATTTGAGGATCATTCAGCTGCCAAGCCGTTTCGTCGTGTGGTTGTCATGAACCTCGTGAAGGAGGCCAATAAAAATCTTAAGCGGGTTCATGTCATGAACAAGGCGCTGAAAACCGTGGAGTGGCCAGAAAAGGTGGAGTACATTGAAGCTGTGCGCAAAATGCAGTTGCGGGTGGATGAGTTCGTGCAGACTGTCAAGAGCATTCTGGAGAAATATATCGAGCTACGCGTGGAGTCATTGATGTCTGCTGTGGAGAAGCGCAAGGACAAAATGCGACGGCTAGCAGAAATTGTATCGAAAGTTCGACACGATAAGATCTTTGATAAGGATGAACCAGATCCGCAGCGCGAGCGGGTCAAGCAGATGTGGGAGAAGGGTGAAGTGCGGTCAGCTGTAAAGGAAGGCTCCCATCGTTCCACATCGCAGCACTGCCGTCGTCGCCGCTCGCGTTCCACCGGGGCGGGATACTACAAGGATGAAGAGAAGGCTTTTATTGCCCTGCAACCAAAGGAGTTAGCACACCTTTTGGAGAAGGCGTGTATTGTCAAAAAGGCTTCTAAATCATTTGGTGACTACTGTAGATCAACAATGTCCACTGCGCAGAATCTGGTAGAGCAGACACACCAGGAACAACAACAGCAACAACAACAGTCACAAGTATCTACTGTTGCTACGGTCTCTGTTTCGGGAAGTCAGTCCCTCAATGTCCCTGTTGTACTTGGTGTTCCTACACTGCCTCCCCCCATATCACCACCGCAACCGCCGCCGCAGCAGCAGCAGACTGAAATAACGGCTGAATTGGGTACAGCTTCCCCAAGTGCGCTTGTCAGGCAGCACTCGGATAAGCTCAGGCAGATGGGTGCAGAGCAAGCTGAGCGGGTGCGCGAATGCATAAGAGACTTTGCAAAGGTGTTGGAGGATCGGCCGGTGGTAGAAGGAGTGCCAGATGTCCCTCGTGACAGTGAAACAGCGACGGGTAAAGAGACACTTTTGTGTCTCTCAACCCTGCGATCCCTTATTGCTTCCAAGGAGAAGCTGGAAAAATTTAAGGAAAAGGTGCCCAGTATACGTATCAACCAGTGGGCTGAGGATAGTCTTGCCGGTGCTCCACAGGATGAGGAGGCACAAAAGCGTTTTGTACACTTGATGAGGAGTCTGTCAGCCCTGGTACAACGACTTACGATGAGCTTCTTGACTAAGGCAGGAAGTAGGCCGTCCCGTAATGCTGTCCATACACGAGGTAAATCTGCAGCAGTCCCTCTCCGTCCTCCTTCTGATCCTGCTCGTGCGCCCTCGTCCCGCTCGAAAAGCCAACGGAGAGTAATCAGAGTTACGCACATGTCAACTGCCGTTGATTCCATGGTGCCTCAAGGGGGCGATGATGTTGATTCTAGGCTCAAACAGCAAGAAGAAGAACAGCATGTCATTGCATTTGTACCCCTCGTCACTCCGCCAGTGTATGCTGATGCATCTATTACCCCACCGTCTGTTGTAGTGCAAGAGGTGTCGAAGCCAATCTCCCTTACCTCTGGTGAAGCGATGACACTTGTGCCGGGGCTGCCGACCACATCAACTAATAGTGGCGACCGCATTATAGTTCCGTCCTCAAGTGACATAAAAGTGATCCCAAACACGCATCCATATTCGTCACCTCGCATGTCGTACACTGATCATAGCACAATGACCGTCGCTGCAGGTGATGGATTACCTCTACCACCACCAATCTCTCGGCCTGTGGTGTGTGAGAGTCTTTCACCGTCACCGCTAACGCGTATTTCTGTTTCTCAGGGCCCGCACATCACTACAGCCTCCACAGCGGCGGAGTTACCCTCATTTCATGACTCATTAGCGGCAACGCAGACACGAATGAACGTGGAGGCCGAATGGCATGGTCCGACCGGGATGGTGAGTTTCTCGCCTGGGTTCTTCCACAGTAATGGTGCACCACATACCACAGGGAGCGATAAGACTGCCTTCAGCGCCGCACCTCGTAATGCAGCAGATACGGAAGATGACTACTTCTTTTTTGGTCGCCGTTTTGCAGCAGAGACGGATGTTGCCCCCTGTGCTGCAGCAGGCACCACACCATGGCAGGCTTTTAAGGCGGTGGAACCACAGGTAATGAGTGGCGGCACGCATGCTGTGACGGTATCGCCACCGGTCGGCACTAACGCAGGACTTGCCTCAGGTGCGCCAAAGACTAAGCTGATGTGCCCGTTGCCAAGCCGTCGTTCTCATGTACCTAGCGCTGTTGTGGAAGTTGTCACGAGGTCTGCTGGTGGCGGTATGTTTCGTGGGAAACTGACTCCTGGCGAGGCGCAGATTTTGAAGGGAAGGGAGCGTCTTCGTGCTGAATCATCACGAAGAAATACCGAAAAAAAGCACAAGGCGTCAGCACATTCATAGACCACGTATAGATGATGCAGAGAAAGGAAACCGTTAAAGAAAAAAAAACAATAAAGAAAAAGACATGCATGCACATGTGTGAACTGAAGAAGGGACAGATGGGGAAAATGAAGGGAAAAAGAGGGTTGGGAGGGTTGGAGAGAAGGGATGTGAATAGAGTGGAAGTTACTCGAGAGGGTCATGCGTACGTATTTGCCTCAAGTCACTGCGTGTGTGTGTGGAAGGGGGAGTTCCTCTTCATTCACATTGTTGATGTATTTTTTTTTTTTTGGCTGCTGCGGTTGAACTCTCTCCTTCGCATATTCGTTCCTTTTTTGTTTTGTTTTCTCTTCGGACGAATAGTTTGCTCTTGTGGGAGAGGCAAAGTGTATCGTCAGTGGGGTGGAG